CACACACACACACACACACACACGATTTCAGAGGACGCTGCATCATAGATTCATTCGGAGACTTACCTTAACCTTAAAATATGTCTTCACATTAAAATGTGATGATTTATGTTTTGCTGACTTGCTTTTTCTGCTCATGACATGATTGTGTGAACAGATTTAGGTCCCTACAACATGAGTAATCCCCTCACTCCCGGGGTGGAGCCCGCTGCCTGACAGTTTGGGAGTCCAGCAGCGAGAGCGCGGGGAGGTGGAGAACCTCCCCTATTCCCTCTTCTGCTGTGTTTCTATAACTCTCTCCCACTCAGCCTGTGCATGTGACTGCTATACATCATTCTCCTCAGCTGGGATTCGTGTCTCTCCCTGTGGTTTCTCTGACCTTGTGAACTGAAAGAACACGATAAAGACACCTGCGCTCTGTATGAGGTCTGTGTGTAGTTTGTGGTCCGCCGCCGTCAGCAGTCAGGTCGGACATTTGGGAATAATCTTGTATCCCACACAGTGAGAGTGGATTACGCAGCCTTGTCCTTGTTGGGGTTTTTGTGCAGCAAATAACTGAGACCAGCAGCTGAAAACATTATCTATGAAGTGAAAAATACAGTGATGAAAAAAATAAAGGAACACTTTGAAAACACGTGAGACCTCAACGTGAAAAGACTCATGCGGGATATCTATACTGATATGGACCTGGGAATGTGAATAATCAAAATACAGAGGGCTGAAAAAATAATGCAGCAGGCGAGTCACATTTGTTCATGTTTCATTGCAGCAGCTCAAAATGATACTCAGTAGTTTTTAGGGCCCCCGGGAGCTTGTGTATAAGCCTGACAATGTCAGGGCATGCTCCTAATGTGAGAACAGATGGTGTCCTCCCAGATCTGGACCAGAGCATCACTGAGCTCCGGGACAGTCTGAGGAAACATAACATCCCAGAGGTGTTGTGTTGGATTTAGGTCAGGTGGACGTGGGGGGAAGTTAATGGATCAGTTCCTTCATCCTCCAGGAAAGCAGCAGGAAGTCAAATGAACACAAATGCCAATCAGGCTCCACAATGCTGGGCCCTCACCTTGTTGTCCCACCCCTGGTTGGTCCCTCACCTTGTTGGTCCCTCACCTGGTTGGTCCCTCCCCTGGTCGGTCCCTCCCCTGGCTGGGCCCTCCCCTGGTTGGTCCCTCACCTGGTTGGTCCCTCACATTGTTGGTCCCTCACCTGGTTGGTCCCTC